GGGCATCAGTCCAGGGAAATGCCTTCCTGCCTGGGTTTCTGCTCATGCAACCAGCCTTATCTCACTGCCACCAACCCAGACTCCTTCCCGGCATCCGAGGCCACCAATCCTCTCCAGAGCGTAGCAGTGACATGATCTCATGCAGTGGCTGGAGACTGGATTGTTCCTAAGAATTCTGAGGAACTTATTAGAATCCAGGCTCCTAAGCCCCATACCCCATGGATTGCATGGTGCTGGAGTGAGGACTGCCCCCCCTCATTCTAACCAAGCCCCCAGAGAAGGCTGACAATCCTGGGCTAGGAAGCCAAAGGGCCTGGTGAGAGCTAAGAAACCCATAACAGGTGAATAGAGGCGGGTACAGTATAGAGTCAAGACCCTGGTGTTGGCCACCACAGAAGGGTGGAAGGCTCTTCTACCATCCCCAACCCAGGGGCCAGAGGAGGGAAAGGTCTCAAAGAAGAGACAAAAAGATACAGCCTGACTGATATGGCCAGTTTCTACAGGATAGATGGTTCACTCAATCCCGGGACACCAAACAGTCTGAATGTCTCATTCATAAAGATACCTGGGCACTGTGTAAAATAGGGCAAAGGCAGAGCAATGGCTGATTTCTGCCCTGAGAGAGAGAGACCTTGGTGATCTATAAGGTTTCCCTGTGTTCCACAATCTCTGCTTCCCTGTAGCTCCCGGAAGCCCCTGAGCGCCTCACACCTCCAGTACTCCTGGAGCTTTTGGTTGAACAGCAGCGCTGCTCTGACTCATCAGCCCTACAGACCAGACTCCCGGATTCAGCTGGCTTCCGTGTGTACCAGCCCATCCCACCTCTGGGAACTCCAAGGCAGGCAACCTGAGTCCAGTACCCTGGCTTTGCTGCAATTCAACCTTATCTATGGAGTGAATTCCCACCCCCTTCTGAGGATGGAGTGAAGCTACTAGCCACTGACTTCCAGATAAAAAATAGTTCCAATCAAACTTCCTCCTGAGTGATGTCCAGGTACCCTGCACTGGCTGCTAGGCTGGTCCTGGTGATATAGAAATGAATAGCATAGTCCAAAAGAGCCCAGAGCCCAGGGGCTGTGGCTCCCACTGGGGTCTATCCTGGTCCTCACCTCTTGGCCACTAATGTGTGCTTTAATAAAAAGACAGACAGAAAAACAAGCGATTGACCACTCGTTGCACAAGATGCTATTATAAACGTAGGCAGGGGCTTGGGGAGCCAGAAGAGGTACCAGGTCAAGGTTGAGAGGGGTATGGGGGGTGGGCATCAGCAGGAGGAGTGCCTCATTCAGTAGGCTGTGCAGAAGCAGCAAAGAAAACATTCCAGGTAGCAGATTAGACTCTAAGAGCAAAGGTGTAAAAAGCATGGCTCTCACAGCTGTGCATGCTTAGAGAAGGATCTAGAAGTGTTCCACCTAGCTACTAAAGCCAGTTGTTTCAGGAAATATTGTAATGGAGGTTTTTGCTAGTTTTTGATTTGTACGTTATTGTCTTGTTTAAATTTTTATAGAAAGAAAGAATTAGTTTCAGAATTAAAAAGTGTGTGTATGTGTGTGTGTGTGTGTGTGTGTGTGTGTGTGTGTGTGTGTGATTAATAAAGAGTATTCTGTGTCTGGTGGAAGTCTGAGAAACATGGGGACATAAAATCAGGGAAGGGGCATACGACATGCCCTGAAGGAGAAAAGCAGGGAGCTGTCACAGACCCCAGGACTGGAGAAGAAACAGGCCTAGCTCAGGCAGAGCCAGGCTGCTCATTCCTCACGTGGGAGACTGCCCCTCAGCTCGGCTGATGCTCCACCATGGTGTTCCCTCAACCCCAGGGAGTAAGCTGCCAAAGCCGTGCCAGGGTAAGACTCAGAGGCAGCTCCCACCAGCTGCCTCAGGGAGTTCCAGGCTCCTTGGAGAGGGGAGTTTTTTCTTGGCCTCTGACTTCTTGACCTCTCACACCCTCCTCCTAGATCTGACCTAGACTGGAGGAAGAAGGAAAGGTCCCAGCTCTTAGAATGAGGTCACTGGCAAAGAGAAGTAAGCATAGAAAGAGAAGTCTCCTCGGTTGTGTGCCGACTCCAGTCGCTTCTGTAGAAAATCCTTTATTTGTCCTTCGTCAGAGGAGGAAACGGCTCGCTAGCTATGGCTCAGGCATGTCACTCAAGTGTGCACACATGCACAGTTCTTTCTCTATTCAGAGGGATCTCTAAGACATGGCTGCAATTTGAAAACCTGCAACAATGCCCCCAACCCAGAACAAACTTCTCTTCACCTTTCACTAGGGTTGGAATTCATCCTGGGGTTAGGGGTTAGGTCCTGCTCAAACACATCCTATACCTAGTCTCTCTCTCTCTCTCTCTCTCTCTCTCTCTCTCTCTCTCTCTCTCTCTCTCTCTCTCTCTCTCTCTCTCTCTCTCTCTCTCTCTCTCACACACACACACACACACACACACACACACACACACACACACCATAGAGATGTCCTGGTCAGGTTAAGTAGGGTTAGGGTTATAATTTAGCAATTTAATGAGGGTTGTTGATATGGTACCCAGTTTCCCCTGTGGAGGAATGAGCCAAAATGGCAGTATTGTTTACATTGCTTAGTATGGAAACTTATTAAGGGAACAGCCCAAGCAAGGCTGGAGTTAGGAATGGTAAACAGTAACGGTACTTTCTCCTCAGCTTGAGGATTATAGAGAGCACAACACAGGGCTGCGTGGGCAGGTGAAAAGGGAACGAGAGAGGCCATGTGTTCAGACCTTGGTTAGTCCTCAGACTGGGGTCCGATGAGAAGCCAGTCCCCAATTTGACCTTTTCCTCTTAGTGATAAAAATGTCGAGCAGCTCCCACCCAAACCATCCTACTCTCTAAACCCTCTGCCAGCTAGGGCAGCACAGGACACAGGGACACGATTTACACAGTGACATCACTGGTTAAGATGCTGGGTTTCAGGAGCCAGGCAGAACAGCTGAGAGATGGCCAGAGGTTTCCAAGAAAGTTAGAGTTTAAACCATTGATGTGAAAAGTTGCCATCAGCATGTAGTCATCTGTGCTGGGAAACAGAGGAATGTACTTTGGGAAGAAAACAAGATTAAGGTGAGGTGGGGCTTTGCTGTCCTTGAGTCACCTGAGGAGCTGTCAGGAAAGAAGAACAAGTCTCTTGTGTAATGGATCTAGACTCCTAGGAACACAGCCTAGGGACTGCGAGTTTATTTTTTAATCTTCTAGACAGTTCTCAGGTAGAGCCAAGCTGAAAAAAAAAACAACTTATTCAAATGAGGCTGAATCTGAGTGACGAAACAGGGGGTTCAGGCAGCAGGGCATGGGATCTCAGGTTTGCAAAGGGAACGTCTGAGTGCTGGCAGTTCTGAGGCCATTTGTGGTGGCCCTTGATGCTGACCAGTGGCCAAGAAAACCCCAGATTCCTTCACCCTGAGCAGTTTCTCAAGCAAGTTTCCCATGGCTCATCTGGTCTCCCCAGAGCAGGGCACCCTGTCATGAAAGATCTGTCAGAAATAGAGACACATCTGTGTCTCTCCACAATGCACGCACTGAATAAGAATAAAATCACATTATGTCAGCTTCCTCGGCTGTAGTTCACCGGTTCTCCTAACCTTGTTTAGTATTTATAGCTGCTGCAAGCACAGGTTCCTTCCTTCCTGTCTGCATGACGAACATTAGCTCCCAGGTCATATGCTAACAGTTCAAGCAATGATACGTGGGTTAGAGGGTGGTGCCGAAAGGGTTAAAGCAGTGCCAGGATCCAAAGGGGTCTTGCTCAAGGCAGGGCAGAGAGCTGATGCCTGAGCAGAGGGATCACTGGAGTTAGATGAACACAGCCCAGCCACAGAGCTACCCTGGAGCATACATGCTAGGTTCAGACTAGTCCACTTAACTGGGCCTCGTCAAGCAAGGCCATCGTGTGGAGCTGAAGCTCCAGAGATAGAGGCAGGAGTTTGCCACCTGTCAATCAATCATTGGGATCTTAGGGTCCCATGACATGTGCACCAGAGGATCTGATGCAGGCCAATGGGTGCTATGCACCCAAGGTTGGCTACCCCTCCTTTTCTACGGTCTGAGTAAGGAGCTGCACCATGTTGCTTGGTGTGTCCCGTGGACCTAACTGATGGCCTCAGCCTAGCTCCCTGCATGACTGTGATACATGCATGTACTCATGTGCTCCTGACTTGGCTTGATAAGTTGTCAGGTGGAATATTTTATTTAAGTAAATACATTATCATCCGTCCAGGTCTTGTGACCTATGCTGGGCCGATAGTGGTTGTTTACTTGCATAAACAAAATCCAGAGTCATTCTAGATTTTGACGTCTGCCTTGACGTGAGGGCTCCAAATGGAGCACGCTGCTGTTTTATAAAATGGAGCCAGGCAGGTCACAGCCTGAAGGTTTAGTGTGCATTGTGGGGTGTCTTAGAGCAGCACCCAGCCTGGTGCCCAGACTCTCTCCCATCCTCCCACCAGTTCTGATGGGAGTAACCTGTTCTGCCCTATGGGGGGGGGGTGTTAAGAACAAATTTCTGGGCTTCTTAGACCATTTCAACTAAAAGGTCTAGGAAAAGCCATGCCTCTCAGCCTAGATGGGATATGTATAGTCCAAAGACCCCAGTTCCAGAAAATAATGTCTCCTGGAGCCTGGAAATAGGAGAGAGGATGGTGGGAGGGTAGAGGGGCAGAAGAAGGTATTGGGAACAGAAGAAGGGAGAGGAGTGGTCAGAAAGAATTGAGAGGAAGGGGGTGATCAGGGGAGGTGGTTTTTCACAGATAAGCCTGGGTGGGTGTGGAGTGGGTGTGGAGAAGGCGCTTTCTTGCTTAGGCATTCTTTTTTTTTTTTATCTTTTTTTTCCTTTATTTATTTATTTATTAAAGATTTCTGTCTCTTCCCCCCAGCCGCCTCCCCTTTCCCACCCCCTCCCCCAATCAAGTCCCCCTCCCTCGTCAGCCCAAAGAGCAATCAGGGTTCCCTGCCCTGTGGGAAGTCCGAGGACCACCCACCTCCATCCAGGTCTAGTAAGGTGAGCATCCAAACTGTTGCTTAGGCATTCTTGAGTAACACACAAGGATGACGGTGGCATGGCTCCTTGAAGCGGCTGCCCTTCCCTCTCCCCTTTCCCAATCCTTGTTATTTGGGATGGGAGGTCTTCTAGTTGCTTTCTTTGGGTCTTCCCATTTGTTCACTCCTGCCATTGCTTGTCTATTGGCTTACTGTTCCGATGTGACGGCTCTGATGGTCAACTGCCAAGTCCCCTCCACAGCATCACAGCTTGAAGCTTTCAGGACTTCCAGGGTTGAGACTGAGAGGAATTAAAATCTGTGACATTTCTTAAAAGGAAGTGTGTCCACAGAAGTGGTGAACTGAGCCTTGGGAATGGTGGGGACTGTTTGCTCCCTCCCCTGAGGGGGTGTCAGAGTCTGGAGGCCACTGGGCCTATCAGCCCACTGGGAGATAAAGACAGGAGTAAGTAGCTGCAGAGGGACACCTCAGGGGAGGCTTCCGGTTACAGAGAAACCTGACTAGCAGTTGTCCTGTGTAAATGACTGCTTATGAGATCCCCTTGCTTCTGTCTGGGAGGCAGGGGGGCTTGAGCCCTAAGTATTTGGAATTAGGAGAATCCTGGAGGGGGGGACAGTGTTGGTTGCCCCCAAGAGGACTTCTGCCAGCAGAAAGCGAAAGCTGGGGGCTGAATATTTTGCCCACCTCACAGATCTCTCTACACCCACCCTGTGGACCTTCAGTGGATCACTAGTGGGCACACAGGTGCTAGCCACATCATTTCCTTATTTAATGGAGAGCGTATTGGGGGATATATTCGCTGGTGGTTAAGAAAAATGTCTGGGATTGGGGAGATAGCTCAGTGGCGGAGCACTTTGTGTGAGGCCCTGGGTTCCATCTTTAATAACAATAACAAAAACAAAAATTTAACAGATGTTCAAAGAGTTGAGCAAAGAGAAACTGACTTCATATAGCAAATTTGTTCTCAGAGACAGAACCCCATATGCTAAGGGGAGGATCTTTGCAAGAACCCAAACAGTAAGGTTTTACCTGTGTGAGTGAAGTCACAGAACAGCCAAACTGAGTCAGAGAGGAAAAAACTGGGAACAGCTGTGATGTAAGAATAGGATGAGGATTTCTTGGAACTGGACTCCCAGGGAAATTCGCCCTCATGAACTGTGGGTGTTAATAGGAGCCTGGGTTAGCCAAGGGTAGCTGTGCTATGGAACTGGGAATACGGTCCTACACGGAAGATTGGTGTGTTTCGTTAGGAATAAAATTTACCTCAAAATAGCTGAGAAAAATGCTGGGCACTGGTCAGTGACCCGGCACTGAAAGTTGGTCTAGATGGAGACGGATGGCCTCACCTTGCTTTGAAGTTCATCCAGAAAGGGCTGGTGGGCAGCCAGGACGTGGGCAGTGGGGAGGTTTGTCTAAGAGATGAAGATTCCAGGTGGTGGGCACATGGCTCTGGGGATTTTCTACGTGTTTGCCACTTCTCCTAATAAAATATGGAGAGAGAGGGAAAAAAAATCTTACCTCCTAGGATTGTCCCAGCCCCCAGGACTCTGAGAGTTCCTGCAGAGTGAGCAGGAGCTAGCCCCCATTCTCTGGCCCTGAGGTCACCAGGGCGTCTGCCCCTCACCAGCCCTCCAGTGGCTCAGAGCCAGACAAGCCTTGTTCCCCTGCAGTCAGGGTGTCTGCATTGTTTTCCTGCCTAGGCTTCAAGGCTTGGGGACTAGTGACTTCATACCTTATTCATCCGCTTGGAAAGTCCCCTGATTCCACTCCCATCCCCACTATCAGAGAGAGAAATCGTGATCTCCCGTTTTTTGGAACTGTCAGGCATCTTTCTTAAGATCCCCATAGTCTGGTATGATCCTCTAGATTTCCCTGAGAAATCTTCCTTCCTATCTCATCTAAACCCTAAAAACATGCTGCTTTTCTACAGAAGTCAATGAACCTGGGGCCTATGGCTCTGAGCGCACGTGTGTGTTTGTGCCCATGCTTTGTCGATCTATCTGTGGGGCAGAACAGTCAGGGGTGCCTGGGTCAATTCAGACTTTCTTCTTTGATGGCCCTTTGCCCTGCACTCCACCCTGTCACCTGGTGTGGCCAGGCCACTGTAGGTAAAAGGGCAAGCATTCAGTCACCCAGTCTGCTTGGGCTGAGGACTTTTCTCAAATGATGTATCCCTACCCAGAGGTCTCCCCAGATGGTAGGCAGATGGATCTCTGTGTACAGGGGACCCTGTTACCTGGGTCTACCCAAGGCTCTCTTCTTAGGGCCATCCTCATGGTTCACATTTTCTGAACATAAGTCAAACACGTTGCTGTCCAGCCTGGCAGTACACAGAAATCCAATCCTGAGATACTCTGCTGTGGCTGACAGACCCTCAGTACCTACACAGGAAAGATGCAGATCAACAGCCCTTGCCCCCATGCCTGGGCCATGCACAGCTGGATGAGACTGTGCTCCCAGATGCTCTCTGTGAAGTCTAGGGTATCACAACAGCCAGTTATTCACTCAAACCCAGATGCATTACTGAAGCACCAGGATCTTTGCTGTTGCTTTGTTTATTTTGGGGTTTTATTTTAATTTTTGTTTTTGTTTTTCATGACAGGGTTTCTCTGTGTAGCTTTGGCTGTCTGGGAACTAACTCTGTAGACCAGGCTGGCATCGAACTCACAGAGATCCACCTGCCTCTGCCTCCCAAGCGCTGAGATTGAAGATGGGTGCCATTGAACACAACTGGCTAGCTGTTGTTTGTTTGTTTGAAACGATATCTCATGTAACCCAGGCTAGCCCCGGACTCATTATATGACCAAGGAAAGCCAGGAGTCTCTGTCCCTACAGCCTGCAGAGCACGGGACTACAGGCGTGTGTCACAACACCTGGCAGGAGCACTGTTTGTTTTCAGACTCTGTGAGCGGCACCACTTCTGCCGTCACCCATGTACTATTTCCAGAAAGAGAATAAGAGTGACCTAGAAGCCACTGGGTTCTTTCCTAATCCCAAGTACCCTCACTGCTCAACCTGGAGACAGGATGGCTGGGCCTTCTGCCCATCTTATTTATCCTATATCTAAGAAGCAGCAAGGCAGAAGTCCTTCTCAAAGCGATGCTAGGAACCCAACTCACCTTGACTAAGAGCAGAGACTGGTACATCCATATCTCAGGTCTGAAGGGAAAGCAAGTGTCAAAGAGGAGACCCTCTAGGGCCCCTCTCCCCAGATACCCTCCTGGGTTCTGTCATATTGAGCTCCAAGAAGTGGTGCGAGCTCTTATCACCTGACCTACGTGAGATTTGCAAATAGGTGTGTGTCAGAGACTCAGTTCCTGCTGTGAAGAGAACCACATTGCAGTGGATTATAATACAAGAGAGAACTCCCCTGGCCCACCCCAAAGAGAGGAAACCAAGGCGAGCAGTGCCTTTGGCTGCACGAGCTCGTTTTAGGCCCAGATGCCTTCGTGTTCTCCAGGCCGCTGTCAGCAGGCGTGATGGAGCCAGAAGCCAGGGAGAAAACAAGGAAGAAGGAACACCCACGACCTAAGCCAGGACACAGAAGCGGCTTGTCTCCCCATCGTCGGGGACACAGTCACATAGGGAAAGGAGGCTGTGCCCAACATTCTCACTGTGGTGTTACTTCTGATGATACAAACTGGTGGTCTGCACCAGAGAACCCAACATCCATGCTTCTGTTGTACGTGGTGATGTAGCTCCTGGCCATGCATCTCCCTGAGACAACTGTCTCTCAAGGGCTAGAGCTCCAAGACACAGAAGAAGGGCAGAGTTTTCCAGATGCCCTTGCTTTACGACTTATGAACAACAACAACAACCAAACTAACAAAAGCTGCAAAAACCAGTTTGGGATTGAGGAGTGCTGGAGTGTAGCTCAGTGGTAGATAGCCAGCCTTGGATTCAACCTCAGATCCAAAACAAAACAAGCCTGAAGGAGAAAAACTGGAGAATCTCAAACCTAAGCCCAGGACACTACAGTCCTAAGTCCAAGGGAGATTCAGACGAGAAAGAAGATGAGGTCCTGGATGGAGGTGGGTGGTCCTTGGACTTCCCACAGGGCAGGGAACCCTGATTGCTCTTTGGGCTGACGAGGGAGGGGGACTTGATTGGGGGAGGGAAAGGGGAGGCGGCTGGGGGGAAGAGACAGAAATCTTTAATAAATAAATAAATAAATAGGAAAAAAAAAAAAGAAGATGAGGTCCCCAGCCAGTGGGCCAGGCCACAACCCAGGTTCCTTGTGGGAACACTTGGCTCTGCACAGCAAGTAGCTGAGTGAATTATGTTTCTTCTAACTGCTCTGAGGCAGGACCCAGGTCGGCCATGTCAATGACATCAGTGGATGTTACAGCTTGTAGCTGAAGTGTCTCCAAAGCTCATATGCTAAGGCTGGTTCCGCTGCTGACGGGCGGATGCTATTGGAAGATGGTAGAAACTGTTGGGGTGCAGCCCGTCTTGAAGGAGATGGTTGTTGGGTGATTTGCTTCCCCCCACCCTGCTTCCTGGTGGCTTTGTCCCACCATGCAGTGTCTGCCCCGGGAGAAGTGGGGAGGTTCTGCTTCATACAGACCCAAAGACAGTGGGGTCAACTAACCATGTACTGAAACCTCTGGAATGGTGAACTAAAAATAAATGTCTCCTCGTTCCAGTTGCTTCTCCTGGTATCTTATCTGGGCCACAGAAAGCTGACTAGCAGGACAAAACACCACGCCGACATGCTTAGTACATTTGGTCCAGGAAGGAAACAGATAAAGCACGTGCCCAACTCCTACGTGCCAGGGGTAAAGGGATGAGCCCCAGGAGCAGTGTGACCATGAGAGCCAAGGCCCTGATAGCACCTGGCCAAGTATCAGCTGAAGCCACCGCCTAGGGTGAGCAGGTAGGCCAGCCTAAGCAAGCAGACAGGCGTCCAGGAGATAAGGCTAAGCAGTCTTAGGAAACGGGGGAAGGGAGAACATTCCCAGATGGCTTGCAAGGGCTTCACACAAAGGACAGTGTCAGTGAGCAGGAGGCAAGAGGGGGTAGGGGGAGAGGGGCACAGGGGTGGAGCGGCAGGCTCTTGGGTAGAGGAAGTGATTTGAGCCCTGTGCTTCCTGGGAATGATCACATTTAATCTTCCCCGCATTCCTCTGAGGTAGGTGCTTTTGTTACCCACGTTTTTTGCAGATGAGGAAACAGCTTAGAAAAGTTCAGGAACTTGCTTAAACTAAGGGTGGTGACACATGCCTGTTATAAAAGCCAAGACTCAAGAGGCTGAGGCAGGAGAGCTGAGAATTTGAGGCTAGCCTGGGCTACCTTGAGAGACTCGGTGTCAAAAACATTAACAATACAAATTGCACTCTCATTCCTTGGGGAAAGCCAGAGCCAACCTTCAGGAGCTCTGGCTGCAGAGACTGACAAGCTCAGCGCCCTTCCAGGGCTGGAGGTGGCGGAGGTGGCAGAGGTGGCATTGCCTGCCGCATATTCCTACAGATGCCTCTTGCCTTTGGCGAGCAGCCCTGGTGGTCACGTCCTGGTCTGACATGAGCCCTGGCTGCCTCTCAGCTCCTTGCTCAGTGGAACAGTCCAGATCCTGCCCACAAGCTTGGCACCCTGTCTGCACCCTGAAGATGTCTTTGACTGGAATCATAGCCAATGACTGACTATACCAGCAGGCTGAGAGAAGCTGAACACGGAGCAACCCCAGCTGGAGCCCGGTCCTGGAGAAATAGTGGGAACTGGCCCACAGGGGAGGAAGCCTCCACGAGACCTCCCAAAGCCACTCCCAGTGACCCTGCCCTGTACTCCAGAGGTGGAGATGTATCTGAAGTATGGACCCAACAACATCCAAGCAGCCTTTGTCGGTCCCTCACCTGGGGCCTGCCTGCTGTCTGAGGGGACCCAGAGAGATACCTTTCCTGAATCCACCTCAGTAGGGAACTCCACACACACCATCTGACCCCTGACTCCCAGAAAGCAAATGGAGTTGAGGCTGGTCAGGGGGAGTCAAGGAGTCTGAGGAACCCTGAGTTCGTTCCAGGCTCCTGCTCAGGATGGACTTGCCCTCCTCTGGGGCCGACAACTCTGCTGCCTCCACCCTAGCCTTTGTAGGTGGTTTGGGGAAGAATTCTGAAAAGAAGGGGAGGGAAGATCTGAGTCCTAAGTGCCCAGACCTCAGAGGAATAAATAAATTTTTAAAAATCAGCAATATGTTTACTTTGTTGGGGGAGGGGAGGAGCTGATAGATTTGTGCCCCTTAAGCAGAGCCTCTAAGGGAAACTCTGGGGTAAATTGGTCGCGTTGGGAGCACAGGTGCAGGATTTCTCACAAAGCCCTCCACGCAGAGGGTGAGCGCCACCACAAAGAGCCTGGTTTATTCCAGGCAGGAGCACAGCAGGCATCTCCAGGTCTGAGAGCTCACTCCAACCAAGTGGGGGGGGGGCAATCTCACCAAGAGCTGCCAAGACTACAGCTCATTAAGGAACACGTGGAAGCTAGGGAAGG